CCCCCATGCTGCAGAAAGCCGTGCCCCCCCCCCCCACGCCTCTGGATGACCCACCCCGTCCCAGGGCCCCATTCACCCCAGCCCCTGCTCCTGCCCCTCTCCCTCCCTCACTGTGGGGGCCTCGATCTCCCCCTGCCTCTTCCCCTCCACAGACTCATCAGATAGGGAAATCTGGAGATTTGAGGGTTCAGTGGGGCAATTGTGAGTTGGAGTTACTTTGGCTTAGAAATCCCGACAGTTGGCAATTACTGGGTACGCACTTCATCCCATGGTAAGAATTCTCACAGGCACAACTGAGATGTGTAGCTTGTGAGGGAAGGTGAGAGCAACCAAGATAGTTCTGTGCAGGTGTTTTCAGAGGAAATTTAGAAAAAAGGTTTCAAGGACTGCATGGCACTTTTACAACAGAAGTATCAGTGAAACTTGAATGAGATGGAGAGAGAGAGCAAAACAATTACACAATTAGACAAAGAATAATGGAGAAATTGATGCAAGAGGACAGAGAAAAAGAAGCAAACATGATACAAACTCAGAGAACTGTGAATAAAATGAACTCAAATGGCTAAAAATGTGAAGAGAAGGATTTTTCTAGTGTTTTACATGCATCCACAGCTAGGAATCTGGGAAACAAAACAAAAGGAATAAAACATTCTCCCATATATTAAATGGCAAATTGATATAAATGGGTGCCACTGAAACCCAGTGGAATGACATATTCAAGGACAGAAAGAGAGTATTTTACACACAGTAAGACAGAGTATTTTGCATTACGGATGTGAAAGGTTAAACGATTAATCACTTAACCGATAAGTGCAGTGATAACTGGTTAGTTTACTAGAGTCTTACTAGAATCTCTCATTCCTTGGAGTCTCAGACCAGGAGAGACTCCCTCTGCCTGAGGAAGGGTGACTGCGCCCAAAAACTTCCTAAGAACCGTTTTCCCCAACTTCTCAGTTGGTCTAATAAAAGATATCACATCTAACCAAAGAACCTTGCCCATCAGTTAATTGTTTAACTGATATAGAGGAGGTTAAATGAATAGTTTTAAAATGATATTTACATCCCTATTCTACATTCAAAGATAAGATTTTGTGTTTTAAGCTTATTGATATTTCAGAATCACAGGATCCTGAATGCATACAGACCAATGCAATAACAAAGCCCAGGAGGGCTAGATACAGACTACTCAGTCAAACCAGAGAACAGAAACAGCAATGATCTGTAATGTGTAGGAAGAAAAATTGTGGTGTTATGGGGGACTTTAATATGGAAGACGTATACTGAAGATCTCCTGCAGCCAACAGTAAATCACTGCTGTTGTTTCTAGAAATTGTGAAGGCAGTACATTTTAACCCAAAAGTTACTATTCCTCTTTTCTGAACTTTATTACAACAAATAACGATGAAATCTAGACTGAAAGCTAGGGTTATCTAGGGACCAGGAATTATGAGCTTCTTACATTCAATATGGCAAAACAGATGGTCCCTGATCAATAAAAGATGCACCTGATGATTCAAAAGAGCTAATTTCCCAAAGCTGGGAAAAAAAAAAAAAAAAAAATCACAAGAGAAATTGATTGCGGGGGGGAAATTTAAATAGAAAAAAAGTATGAAAGATAACTGGGGGTTCTTTGAGAAGACTGCATTTGTATGAAGAAAAGACACAGTCCAGCAAACAAGGCACACCATAAGTTTGGCTCATTCCATGACGACTGAAGGGAGGAATTAGAAGCAAAAAAATCGACTATGGAAAAATGAGAAAAAGTGGGAAATACATTCAATTAGTTAGAAATTATAACATACAGAAAACAGATAAAGGATGTTAAGGACATCAGGGGAAAAGTGTTTATATCAAGACCACAAGGATTTTAAAAAATATGTTACAAAAAAAAATCTAAGACATGAAATAGGCCTATCAGTAGGTGTTGATGATCAAATTGATGATAATGATGCACAAAAGAAGTATTTAATATTTATTTCTGTTCTGTATTTGGAAAGAAGTAGGATGATGATAGAAAAAGTCAGGGTGATTAACTACTGCAACAAGTGAGAAGGAAAATGGAGCAGTTTCTCCATCAAGAACACTTGTTTTAAAAATCAAGGCTGAAAACTATATTTTTAGTAAAGCACAAGTATTGGGCTCAATACAGGGGTCACATGGGGCATTTAATGGCTTGTAATATAAAAGGTCAGATTAGATCAGTGATTCTCAACTAGGGTACCAAAGCACCCACACTACTGCGAGACCCTTTCAAGGGTGCTGCCACAAGCAGGTGAACCTGTCCCACACGACACTGTTTCCAGAAGGTGCAGACAGGGCCGGACTATGAAACAGCTGTAGCAGCAGGGGGCACTCCTGTTTGCATTAGGTGTACCGGATAAACTGGGTAAACTGAGGCACTACAACAGTGTTTCTTAACCAAGGTGCTGCTAGTTTCAGAGAATTACAGAAGGGAACCTCATGTTTACAAAGGTTGAGAACCTCTGAATTAAATGATCAGACAGCCCCTTCCGGCCTTACATTCTACACATTTACAGTAGTGCTGGGAAAACAAATAAGCAAGTGAGCAGCTTAGATTATTGTCAATACATTTGTGTAACTGTTCCTTACTGAGATTAGGATGGCACATTACAACCTATTTTCTTTTATTATCTGAGCAAAATTAAAAAAAACCCCCATAGAATGCAAGGTTTGATTTACTTTACGGCCTCTTCCCTCTGACTTTAGAGACTCACTCAGAAATGTGTACAAAGATGTCTGGCCCTCCATCTGCAGGAGTAAGGAAGCCATGGCCTTTGGAACGACAGAAGCATTTGCAGACTCCTTTATAGATGGGACCTTCAGAGGCCCTCACAGTGCTGCAAAGAGAGAGGGACACAAATAAGGAAGTTGCATTCAACAGTTACATGTCAGCTTTCCTCAAAAGAAGAACTAGAAAAATGCCAAACAAACTGATCATGATAGTCTGTTCAGTCATACGTCAATTAACACACCCCTCTATGCCAACTGCTTTAACATTCACTGTCACAAATGCACACACTTTACCTAGGACCTCACAGACCTTGATGTGAGTTTGAATTCTCTCAAAAAAACAAAGGAAATGAACCTAGGTCTCCTATAGTTGGACAACTGCCCTAGACTCTAGGTCAGCACTTCCCAAACCTTTCCTCAGCAGGGCCCCATTTCTTCAACATGGCTTCTCACTCCCAATCTGCAGCCCCTCTCCCCCCAGGTAACCTTCACTCCCCACCTACTCCTGGACCTGCCAGTGACCCTCACTTCTGACCTACAGCCCCCTAGCCTTGTTGGTGCGCCTCATTCCCAACCCACAGCCCCCAGCCCCACCCCAGGTGCCCCAGGTCCAGGGCCTGCAACTCACAGGAGGCAGCAGCTGCTGTGGCCAGAGCAGAGCACAGAGCCCAGCTCTCCCCTACGTCAGCATGGCCTGTCCCCCATTCCCCTCCCACCGCGTTGCCTGTGCTCCACCTATCCACTCAAACCATCACATGTGCCCCCTCTGCCCCCAAAGACTTACCTGGACGGAGCTGCTCTCCACTGCTGCTTGGATTCCACATGTGTATGGCACCCCCTGCTTCCGATCGCCCTCCCCTGCTCCCCCTAGCCCCACGCAGCCCATTGCAGGCTGGAACTCTGCCAGCTGGCAGGGAGCAACCCACATTTTTCTCCTTTAAAAGAGAAAATCCATGTTTTTTTGCAGCAAATGGAAAACCTGAATCCCTGTTTATTGTTACCTCTTCTGCTGATGTTGCAAACCCAAATGGGGTTGAGAACCACTGCCCTAGGTTACTGTATAAACGAGTGCCACCACTGCACTATGTATGAAGTCTAATCCATCAGGAGATGAAGCCTCTCCCAGGAAAGAAACTAAAATGCTCAATTTCTGGAGCTTCACTGGGTCCACATGCACCAGGCACCAAGCTTTGTCCTGTCAGAATGGAGGTTCTTTTATACTTGCCCAGACCTTCAGGTGCCTGGGAAATGACAAGATGAAGAACTGAAACATGTACTGTATGGACTTCAGGTACCTCCAAAGTTAGGGGACTTTTCCAAATGTTATTTCTGGGCTCAGGTATTTAAATTCCACACAAGTCCTGCTTTATGTGACTAGCTGATGTTTTGGATCTGGTTCTGTAGGTGACACGCCTAACATCTGGCCTTCAGCAAGTAAAGGACTATTAGGAAGAAAGGAAGAAAACAAACAACACAGCAGGAAAAAAACTGTGTTCTTATGTAAAAACATAGTGGAAAGGCAAGGTAACAGCTGAAGAATACAAGTTCTGTGAGCCCTGAGGGAGATGAAAGCACTGATGTGATTGAATAGGTATAGCTACTATCAAACAGGGAAGCAGCTGCCCATGAAACCTGACCTAGTGCTAACACTTATGCGCTTTCCACCTGGTAGCACAGCTTTGCTTTCTGTACTGCTCCCCTGTGGAATCTAATCCAAAATTTGTGGGAAGGGACATTGCAATGCTTATCAATGGTCTGGCTTTTGCTTTCCCAAGCTCAACTATATTGCTGTTTCTCTGACATGCTCATTTCAGATTTGTGGACTGGATTCGATTATGGCTCTCCAGGGCCAACCCTCAGTAAGTCATTCATATCGCTGCTTGGATACAGGCATCATGAAATGTATGATATTAGTTAGACATGGACTGAAGTCACCCAAAAAATCTGCTCTGTTCCCGAATCCCATATTTGAAACACGAGCTCCAAGAGTAGGGAAAAAGAGGAAGAGAATCTTAAAACATGCCCAAGAGGAAAAATTGTGTCTATTAGCCATTCAGATTTGTAGTTCCAAAGGCTGCCCAAGAGCTTGATCTGGGTTTTGTTAACTGATTATGTATTGTAAAATGAATAAACAGTTCAGGAAGAAGGGGCAGGAACTTGGGCTCCACTCCCACTGGGCTACAGAATCAAGGCCCCCTTTTGTGCTCTTTCTTCCTGGCCCCACAAATCTTAGCTGAGCTTCAACAGGAAACTCCCATCCCAAACAGTTTGTAGCACAGTGATTACTATTCTCCAAGGAGATGAAAGATAAAGGGTTTGAATCTCTTCAGGCTGAGAACAGCATTTAATCTAGGGCTTCTACTTCTTGGGAAAGTGTTCTACCCTGTAAGAGTTTACATGAGGTGAACAGCAGCACTTTTAAAAAGAGGAAGCAATTGCAATTGATGAAGTGAGCTCCAGTTGACAAAAGCTCATGCTATAGATCTATTTTTGTTAGTCTATAAGGTGCAAATCTACACTGTCTTCTACTAGACTTCAGATTAACATGGCTAACTACGTCACAGTAGGAAAACACACAGGACAAACAGGTCAAGTTGGCTAAATACAGTAACACTTGAAACACCAAGAAGTTGAAAAAACAAAGCCTTGCAAGTGTAGTCTTTTTATTCTGTATGCCAGACCCCTGGCTGTCTTTCAGCTCTTCAAAGTTAATGAGAAGGTTTCTATTGCTTTCAACAGGGTTGGATCGTGGCCTGCTGGTAAGGTTTGTTTTTTATCACAGGTACTCAGCCAAAATAACCAGCTTGTGAGCTCTTTGGAAAGAAGCTTCTGCAATATTTATTTCATGAGGTCACCAAAGGAATCTTGTCTTGGGAAAATGCTCAGGAGGTCTGCATTGCACAGAGGGAACAAGGATCAAGAAAACAGTACAAGTCAGAATGTACTGGAGATGAGGGACCAAGTAATTCAAAACATGACACAAACTGTGTATAAAAGCCTCATACAGACATTCAGTATCCAAATGAACTCAATGATACTGTGCTTACAGCTTGTACAC